ATATCGCGATCATTAATGTGCAAGTATCGTGTGTGCAATGAGCACTTGTGTGAGCTCGAGAGGGGCGGGCACGTGGTACATAAATAACACATGAATAATCGTCGCGTTATACGCGCGCGATTACTTGTGTCTAATAATAATAATAATAATAATAATAATAATAATAATAATAATAATAATAATAATGATTGCAGCTCGCAAAAACGCTCGCAAATTAAGATGTCTCTAACGCTCACGCGTGCGAAGAGAGATGTTGGAAAATTGGTTACGCACGCGCGTGGTCACGTGTGATCGAGAACTTTCGTACGTTGAAATATATTTTGTACGGTACTCTCCGCACGCACAAGAAAAATGGTTTTTTTTTTTGTTTTTTTACACCGCGCGCATCGCGGGAGGAATTTGAAGCTTGCGTGCAAAGTACTCTGTAATCATCAGCGCGCACAGTTTTTCTTTTCCTCGTGGTGCGGATTAAGGACGAGGAGTATTACACGATGATTCACAATAGCGCACAAGGTAAAGGAGTCATTGCTCGCGCACAAGGTGGACTTCGCAAGAAATAGAAAAATGACAACCTTGTTGCCGCGCTGTGATTTACGCTGTGACGGACAACGACGGAGGAAACTCGTGTGCCATGCGCACTGCGAGTTTCTCATGAGAGAAACAACACACAGTTCAGTTCGCTCTCCTCGAGAATAAAGAGGTGTGCTCCCCGGTGTGTCGGCACCTCGTTTACGAAACATCCTGCATGACAAACGAGAGAGTGTGCGCGCGCGCGCGCGGCGCAGGAGTCTTTTGCGTCGTAAAATTCGCACATAAATGCAACTATACTTTTACATATAAATTGCAAATTGCATATTGCGCTACTCTTATTATCTCGCAGAGAGACGCCGCGAAGTATCTTTTTTTACACACGTAAAAGATTCATATGTATGCAAATACAATAATAAAATTTAAAAAAAATAAAAAAATAAAAAAAAATACAACAATAAGTTTTCGGAAGAAGATTCGAACTTGTTTAAGAAGATTCGGCGAATGAGAAATATTCGGGGAATGTGGTCGCGCGAATTTGTCGCGTTCGCGCCCTCGTTCTTCGCTTTTCCGCGAATTTTAACGACGAGTTGTTTACCGCTCGGTCGAAGTTTAAGCGAAGATCTGGGTCAGGCGGCGGTCGGAATCCTTGAATCGTTCTCCGCGCGCGACAGAGGAAAAAAAAACGTTCACCTATAGAAGTCTCGTTTCCAGAAGTGCGCTGTCGGGTACGGCCTCGATGTATATGCAGTACGCGATTTACCCCTGGCACTGAGGTCGGCGCCGTTTCCCCCCGGCGACTTAAGGAAAGCAGACAAGGATTCCGCGCGTTGTACCTATACACCGCTTGGCTTACGCTCGCGATCGCTGTAGGTCACAGTCAAGTTGTGTGTGCGCTTTTCTCTAATGTTTACGTTCTCGTTACGCAATTCCGCCGCGCAGGAAACGAAAATTTCTACTTCGACCGCCGCGTCGCGTAATCGCATTCGCGAGGTGAAAGCGAGGGTTGAAAACGGACAAAGCGAACGACGTAAATTGAAACAACATGATTTGAATAAATGATGAGGGTGTTGGACGCGCCGGTGGTGTTGTAGTCGCAAGAAAGTGGTTCTCTTTGGCTCATTTCGAGATGCTCGGAACCGGGAGATAGGAATCTTGTGTAAATTGGAGTTTCTCTTCTCCCCTTTCTCCCACTCTCTCTTTCTCTCTCTCTCTCTCTCTATCTTTTTATATTTTCTTTTGGTTTATTTTATTTATATTGTTTATATTGTTTTTACTCACGATCTCTCTTTTTTACTTTTGTTATTATTTTTGTAATTTCTTTCCGTAAGCCTATATAATATTACCTCTCTGTACCGATTGCGCTTGAGGGGAAGTCTTCCCAAAGTGCGTAAATAAAGCTACAATCAATCAATTTCTCTCCCTCTCCCTCTCTCTCTCTCTCTCTCTCTCTCTCTCTCTCTCGAACAGTTTTGTTTAAAACTATGATAGTTTTAACCCATTTGCATCATAAGCGCATATATGTGCACATTTTGCCTGGCCACTATCACCAGAGCGCATATATGCGCGCATTTTACTTAGGCATTTATCATCAAAGCGCAAATATTATCACGTTGTGCAAAATAATTAGATTCCATTCCGTTTATTTTTGTGAATCTATAATGAAGTAAAAATTCTTTATTTATGTAATATTGATTTTATTTTTCATATTTTGTAACATTTTCATTAAAATTTAAATACAGTAAAAAAATTTTGGTGATAAGAACGAATTTTTGACTTTTCTTTGTGATGCAAATGGGTTAACATACGAACAGAATGTCAGTGCAAATTTTACGTCTAGTATGCTCTGAACGAGAGCAACAAAATATCAGAGCAATCACGTCGTCATTTGCGCTCCGTTTTGTGGCACGTAACGATTTTTCTGATTTCTCGTAACTTGGAAGAAAAAGATCATGCACGTAAAGATATTATTACGTAACGATCGACTTTGGGGTTTCTAGCACAGAGAGCTCGAGATTTTATCACCCGCCTGCTCCACTTTGCAAGGAATATAATTCGGTGCGGCGAATTACCCATTACGGCATTTAGGCCGAATATTCTGCGAGAATTCCGACGACGGCGATGCGATTCTATTTGCATTCGCTTTTATCCTTCTCTCAAGCCGGAGGAATCGCGAGAAGCGAAGGGAGTTCACTTAGCGAGTTTCTGTTTCTATTTCGGTTCGGCGATTTGAAAAAAAAATGCAAATTTACGTTGCACACAACAACGCCATATCGCCATACGCAACAGAATGTGCGATATCGCAAAAAAACAATAATAATAACGAAATGTGATATTCATTTATTGACCCTAATAGCAAATTTGCATATCCTTCGAACAATATAGTTAAAAGGCGTTCGCGTTATTGAATCAGAACGCGAAGAATTTTTTTTTTTTCTAATCGCGCGCGAGTCTTGACCGAAGGCGCAGAGGGCGATCGAGCCGTCGAGCGTGGCGCTCGATAATAATCTAGACTCGCGAGGGACGTCTTGCGTGACGTGTGCAGTCAGCACAATATGCACAACTACGTTCTGCACTAGATCTTGAACACTTTCAATGACAAGGCGTAGACGACGACGACGACGACGACGACGACGAGGCGGCGACGGCCGGAGAAGAAAGAGAAAGATTGAGGGAGGAAGAGAGAGAGACGGATAGACAAATTAACCGCGAGAGCTACTAGCGCACTCCTCCTACTTGCTTAACAGTAGCGCGATAACGCGAAGTAGGCCAGACAAAAATTCGCCGATACCTCGCAAAAGTAGGCGGAAAAATAAACGCGCGAGCGGAGCGATAGCGAAGTTTAATGTCAGCGACGCTTTCTAAGCAGCGTGTAACGGCGGCTTACGCAACGACGCAACTGCGCACTGCGAGGAGAAACATAGTGTTGTTCTATCCGTGTGCGGTTCGATGATAACGCGCGCGCGTGCGAGAAAGACAAAGAGATACAGAAAGAGTTATCGCCAACTTTTAATTAATTATTTCTACGAAATGAATGAACGCGCGTAGTGAAACGCTACGTACGCGTCGCGTAACAATTGCGAGCGGCACATCGATAGAGATAAGTTTTTAAAATTAAGCGCGCGACAATTATTTTTCAGTAAAATAATAATCAATCGATCGCGTTTTAACTTTGTGAAATTTCTGAATTATTTCTTATCGCGCGCTAGTATGAGTCACGTGTGTTTATCAACTCGAGTTTTACTTACGCTTATAAAAATAATTTGTTTTTTCGAGATATAAATTCGCGTGTATATGTCAAAGTCGCGGAAAGGCGGCTATCTCGCGCGTTCCGCGCTACGTGATATTTCGCTTTTCAGCGAAAATCAAATGCAACAATTGGTTCAACATTTACTACCGGAACGTCGTCGCGAAGTGACGACTCGTCGAGATTACAGCTCGAATTCAATCTCCATCCCGGTGAACGTAATCTCATACGCGACTGTCGTCCGCGTCGTGTTCTTCCGGTAGTCGATTGCAACGTCGGTATTACTGTATTGCGCTTCGCGTCGGGCGTAACGATGCGGCAGCATCGAAACTGTCGTCGCGTACGACGGCGGCGAAGTCGACGGCGAGTTCCGAGACCCGGAGCGCAGCCTAGGCTCGCGTTCGGGTCGATGTATTCTCGGTTGTTTATTTAGGCCACGGGAGGTGAATCGTTCGCTCTCTTAACGCTGGCAAGCGGAACGCACGTTGGCCGTGCGCGAGCGCACGTTGTGCACGCCCGCTGCAAAAAAAAACACGCACGCGCGCGCGAGAAAAAGTTACTGGCGGACGCATGTTTGTGTCCCATCGCGATTGTGCCGTCGCGAGAAATACCGTAAAGAGGGATCAAAGACGTCGACGCAAAAACCATGTGTGCGAGGGAAACTTATCTGCGTAATTAACTTTGTAGAGTAATGTTTTTTTTTTTTTTTTTTTATACGTGTAATTAAAAATAACCATCACGTGGAAGAAACGAGAGTGATCCGCGGTTCGCTTTTGAAAGAGTATAACGTAATTAAAGAAAGAGGGAATGTACTAGTTTCTCGCGCGCATCCATCTCTCGTTTATATTTCGCGATTAGCGCGAAACTTCTCTACGTGTGTAGTTTGTGAGAGATGAATAAAATAAATCTCTCTCTCGCCACATTGGAGGAAAACTCGGTCGCGATGAATCAAGAAGCGCACGACTGTCGATACCTGGCTCCTGACCTTGTTCGAGATGATTTTTTATAGATACACAATATAACGGTAAAAGGCATCCGCTTGTGTGCGATGCGGGCGCGTACACAATAAAACACACTGTGCATAACTATTATATGTGTATGTATATATATATATCCAGCGTGATATCAACGTTTTTCTCTACGAAAATAGATTTTGCACAATATGACAAAATATCGCAAATTTCGCAACAAATTGGGATGCGCTGGGATACAAAAAACAACGAAGAAAACGAATACAATCGATTTTTAAGCAACAGATTTTCGTTACAACGTATCTGCATTTGTGTGCGAGTTTTTCACTTTTTACAAAAGACAAGCGATAATCTTGTCGACACAGTTACATCTCGATACACACATTACAACTCATATATTTGTGACAAAATACAAAACAAACATACAAAGATATTAATTTTTAATAATCATAATTAACATATTTTACTTACTATTAACTTTTGCTTTTTCTCTTTTTTTTTTTCTATCACATATCTGACTCTTTTGTCGATATTTGTTATTTGTCAGGATTTATAGATTGTCTACAATGTCCCGCCACGAAAGTTTTTCCTGTAGGGCATCTGTTCGGAACTCGTATTATTTGTTTGTGAACGACGGTAGGTCGTACATCATCGCTTACATCTATTGCGTTTGCGACTCCCATGAGTAACAGAATCATTGCCAACAGTGACCAATATAATCTCATGAATCTCATCTGAAAAAGCACAGCGACAAGCTGAGTATTTTCATTCTTTTCTACGAATGTACGTTAGAACTAGATACAAATATTTTTTCACAACCGGTTTTAATGTAGCTTTTTTTTTGTTAGAAAGAAAATTTCTCAGAAACAATATAAATACGAAACGACTTAACCCTTTATAACCCGAGGTTTTTTCTAAATATAAAACAATTTTTAACGTGAAAACAGCAGAGAAAACATCAACTTCCAGATATAAATTAACAATAAATTTATAATTTCTTGGAGATTTTATTTATTTTGTTTTTTTTTTTGACAATCGCGATAAACAATTTCACTGGAACAAGGGGACAACAGAACAAGATGCGCCACATTGGTTAAAAATAAAATTAGACTAAAAAAATATCAGTATGTGACTTCGAAGTTACACGGCATTACTAGAGAGAGTTGAAGAATTTCGCACAAAAGACTTACTGCGATACAATGTTTTTTGATCTTGAGCACTGAATAATGTGACGTCTGCCGCAGATTATAACGAGGAACTGAGCGAGAAATACGACCGGATGATTATTATATTGATAACTGCGTATACTCTTTCAACTCTGCGATAACTTTTCTCAGCGAGTGAAGACAAAAAAAAACAGTCATAATTACGCAACCGCGGTGTAATTGCGTAAATGCCGTAAACTGCAGAATGTAAATGTACAAAGTTACGCAAAAGATTTTTACTCGCATATATGATTTTTGCGAATATCGCGTTCTCGTATTTCGGAAATTTTTTTTTTATTTTCGGATTTTTGCTGAATTGTTTATTAACGTTCAAATTAAAGTCTCTCTCTCTCTCTCTCTCTCTCTCTCACACACACACACACACACACACACACACACACACACACACACACACACACATTAAATATTTATTATTATTTATTTGTGAGAAAAAACTGTCATTACCAAAATGTGCTGAAAATAAAAGCGCTTTTCGCGAACATTACAAAGTTTGTCGAACGCGAAAAATCTGCAATATTCCACGCGGACGCCGATACACACAATAAAAAAAACCAACAATCTGTAGTAATTGACAACTATCTCTGAAAATAAACTGAGTCCGAATATGAAGTGATGCTATTCACTAAATAATCCGATTGAAACGCTAAAATTCGTTATCTGGTGACTGTGTGAAACAACAACAAAAATCCTGTGTGATCGCATCGATTAATCCTAGGGCAGTTTTTTTTTTTTTTATGTCGTTCGACAATACTGAACTCTTACATATTTCACATGGTAAACTATATTTTCTGTCGCACAACAATTTTAAACATTTTCTATTATCTTCGAACAAGTTTCGAGCGAATGTTTAATCGTCTCAACGAATACTTGGAATCTCAAGATAAATTCTAAATTGAGAATTGTAACAGTATTTTAAGAGCTAGTCACCGGTCGAGGATCGCCGCAATTACGACTCTGACTAACAAATTTCGCGGCCGCCGGTATGCGACAGATGCAAATGCGAGTGGGTGTCGCGCCGGGAAAAGATCGTGGCAGCGTGTCGAGAGAGAGAGAGAGAGAGAGAGAGAGCCGCGGTCGGCGGTATTATTATTACCGGCTTGTTCGAATTGGCATTAACATTCACCAATGCATTCTCGCACTGTGTGCGCCACCAACGTACAACGCGCGAGAGCCGAGCCGAGCCGCGCCGCGCCGCGCCATTTTCGTAACGTGACTTTGTATCATGAACTTTTCGATGACGTTTGCGCAATTCTATCAGTCAGCCAATACGAGCTTGGCGCGCGCAAGTGTGTCGATAGACGTGTAAACATTCTTGAAAGTGAGATAACGAGCATTCAATGTAACAAGCTGCCGCTAATAAATAACTAAATGACTGGTATTTGTGCGATGATTATTGCCGCAACGAACGTATGGAAATGAGAGTTTTTGTAAATAAACAAGATACGCGCAGGAAGTGTGTGATTTTCTTAACTGAGCGTTAAGAAATTTCCCTCTTTGTCACGAAGATGTCACGCACGTTCAATATTGCGTAAGCCTAATATTACATTTGTCGTACGACAGAGATTTTAAGCGTGTTGATTGGTTATCAGATAGAGTTTTATAAAGAACTCAATTTGATAGCCAATCAATATACTTAAAATCTTTGTCGTACGACAAATATAATACTAGCCCTAAGACGTGATAATGTGTGCATACGCGTAAATATTTTCAAAATTTTACGCGTATGGAGAGCAAACTATAAAAATTGCTGCTTTAGAAATTGATTATAACGGACAAGAATAAAATAAATAATTTTTCACGGTTTATCAGTCAGTTGTGACGTACATAAAAATAAATTTTTTTCAGCTTTTTAATTTTGTCTAAATTCGCGCCGCGAAATTGAAATCTGCCGCACAATAAAGCCGCATAAATTGACGGATAGTTCGAAATCGGCTTTTCTCCGAGAAATGCAACCACTGTCTGTCTCTATCTCTCCTTCTTTCTCTCTTCCTTTTTCTCTCTCTCTCTCTCTCTCTCTCTCTCTCTCTCTCTCTCTCTCTCTCAACGACTCCGAATTCCGATCGTACAGGCCACTTTGTTGTTGCATTGCAAAATCGGTTTGTTTGACGGTATAAGCTGGCACGCTATTGATTACGCAACTAGTGAAACTATCGGCTACCTGTCGATCGTAGATGCGCGCCGCGAGGTTTCGGTCGATCACCCGGACTCGCCCTGCGATCATTGTCGAGCTGCAAATCGGCTCCGTTCGATGTAAAGGCGGATCGGCGCAAGAGGGTTTGGCAGGTGGAGATTAATCGCGGCGCGATGTTAAAATCGAATTAACGCGGCGAGGCACATCGGCGCGCCGCGATTACTCGATTTCGCGTTGAGATCAAATAAACGTTGAAGAGATTTAGATCTTAATAAGACACTTATAATACAAACAAATTTATATACTTTCCAAACTGTTCTTGTGACTCAGATCATTCTTTTTTTTTTTTTTTTTTTTTTTATCGAATGAGTTACGTAACAAAACATTCGTCGAAATCGAAATCTCTTCCCGTTGAAAACCGAGAACAATCCAAATGTCGCCAGCCGCGCGACGAAAACATTTCGCAAAATTTTTTATCCAAAAAATATGAGCGACTGAATTTGTTCGTTCAACGGTTGCAAGATCTACTTGAGAGGATCAACTCGGACGGCGGGCGACAGTAACCGGCGGTGACCAAGCTCAGCGGAGTTATGCAACTAATGAAACTATCCTGGCGGCGACGCGCTGCCACTGCCATCGGCGCGGTGCGACGACGAGACGCGGCCAGGTCGCCGCGCGTTCGCTCTCGAGGCCCCCGCGCGTAAGTTTATTGCCAAAGTTTTTGGACACAACGACCGCGGGTAACCCTGGACAGGGGGAACAGGCCAATGCGCATTCGCGTTTCCGAGCCCGTCGTAAAAGCGTGAGGGTGTGTGCGTGCGTGTGCATAGTTAAGCTATATGCGCGAGACATAATCTCATGCTTTCCCATCTTCCCCGCAGATGCTTGCTATGAAGTATGACGTACAGCGCTTTCCAGAATCAGTCAGTTTAATGTGCTCTTCTCGCTGTACGCGTTATTGCAAGAAAAAAAAAACGAACTACAACTCTCTCAGTTGCTAATTATTATACGCGCGCGTTTTAATAGATTAACGTGCTAGAATAATCTTACAAATTGTTTTTTTTTTTTTTCTATATATATATCGATCGCGCAAACACGAGAATATTTTTTGATCGATTTATGAAATATTTATATCATCGATGATGCGCCTATCGCGTGAAATCCCGCGGCGAAATTTTGGAATTCGTGCGCGATTATAATCGCGAGATCTCGAAAATCTCACGGCTCCGCGCGAGGCCTCGGAGATACCCAGATACAGAAATAGGCACTTTTACCGACACCCACGATAGGTCGTGATACTTGTTTCACCGCGTCTTTTCCGCCCTCGCCCTTCCCTTTGCGAAACCACCTCGCCTTCCGAGCTGGCACCGTGAAAGTAGGTGGGAAGGTGGTATCCGGCGGGGAAGGGAAGAGCGGGGGGAGGAAGGGGAGTTAGGCCGCGCGAGGCTAGAGCGTTAAATAATCGCTCTAATTGGGTTATCCACGAGAAAATGACCTATACGAGACGGCACAACCTCGCGGATCAAGTACCTTTTGCCTCGTCCTCGTGTTTCCACCGCGTCACGAGTCCCCCCTCCTCTCCCTCACCTTCTAGCCAGCAAATTTGTTCGACTTCCCCTTGCATTTCTCTTTGTCTCTCTCTCTCGCATCCTCCCGGCCACGTAACTCTGCCAGATCTGCCGTAATGACGTGGAGAGGAATTTATTTGTACACGAGAGAGAGAGAGAGAGAGAGAGAGACAGTAAAAAAAACAACTCACAAAATTTGCAGAGAGAACCACATTCTGATTTTTATTCAGTTTAAAATAATGTAAATTGTACGAGTGCAATCAATAAAAAACCTGAAAGAAGAATTCTCTCTAAAGATATTTTTGCCAAGATATTTTAATTAATTGATTTTTTAATACACTTATTCTGTTTTTATACCGACTGATTCTATTTGATATTCCGAAATGGAAGTTTCGAATAGAGCGAAATTGTGACGAAATTTTCGCTCGTCCATAAAATGAAATTTAAATTCATCAGATTTTGCACACAAGGCATTTTGGAACACAACGTATGTATGTAGTTTTGCGACCGAGTATTAATACTACGGTATATGTGTGAGATATATTTGCGTTGTTGTCTGTGTCCGATTTAAAAATTTTCTTAAATTTGCATCAGCACGTCGGCGCACTCGACTGTTTTGGATTCGTTGCGTATAGAAATACAGCCGGGAAAATTCAGCGTTTTGAAAATAAAGCGTGTTGCAAAATCCAACGCTTATTTCTTCGACCGATCATTCAACCGCTCTCGTTACGCAATCATACATTCAGCCGAACGTGCGCAGAAGAGGTTACGTAAAACGATACTAGAAGAGCTGAAATGCAATTTTGACGATTACGGTCAATTTTATTAATTGCGATCGAATAAACGAAATTCGCGAAATAATACGTTTCCGGGATTACAATCGTCGAAACTGTGTACACACGAAGTGCCGTTCCTCCTCCAGCCTTCGGCCGCGCCGTTGCAATGACCCGTCGTGTTAAATAACCGTTTAATTGCGTTATGCAACGGGAAGTGAAATGACCCTCCGGCCCCGGAGGTTTGGGCCGTGAACGTTCTCTGTTTTCGCGAGTCGCCGCGGACGAAGCGGCGCCTCGTGAATGAATTCAAATCGGAAGAAAAACGAGAGCGCCGCGACAAAGGGAATAATTTTCGATAAGCCGGCACTCTCGATTTCATTCAACCGCGCGGAAGAGAGAGAGAGAGAGAGAGAGACCGTAAACTTTGTATACCTGCGTATACTCCTACGGTCACGCCTACTCTATTCCGCTTGAATCATCGACCGTGGAAAACGTTACGTAAGGACGAGCGACACTACCGAAATAAGGCAAAGCCTTGTCACCAGTGTGATTGCACTAGAACAAACGAGACAA